ACAACATCGACACCAGTTGTGAGGTTGATAGATCAAGAATCTTCCAAACTTTAGAAAATTAAGATTTATTGAATAAAACCTTGTTTACGAAGATACAACGTAATCGATTAGCGGAGGACCTCTAATGAGAAAGAACTCTCTTACTATACTAAACTACTCGCTTATATACTTTTCCGCATTTACAGTCTTAGCACCTTACTTACTACACACTTCAGTATTAGCATCTCAAATATAGGATAGTTTACACCTTTCCTGTGAAGCTCTAGTGTGAGCACTGTATCGATCCTCTTAAGAAGGATTCCAGTTACTAAGCTAGCTATATTGAATACTTAAGCCTCTAACGAGAACATCTATCACATGTTGAACACAACACCTACGGTAGACATTACTAAATATATCATCAACTTAGAATACAATATTACACTGTCTTACATCAGTAAAGAACTTTCTCTGTTTTCTCTAAAGCTGAATTCAACTCTTCGTCAATCATCCTTAGACAATAAATAATTGAACGACGTTTTGATACCAGTACCTATCAATATTTCAATCTGCTGTCATGGATTTAAACCAATCAATATCTTGTTTATTCTCATTGACTAACATAAAATTAGTCCACTTTAGTGGGATTCTAATTCTTAAATGCCTTGAAATTCATATAAATTATCTTTAGAGCTACGATGGCGCAATCTGATATGCTTGAATTGATTTTTTCGTACATTAGGTCGTCTTTATTTCAATAGTATTGCGATATGGTGACCAGCTGGAAGGAAATATTATTTTGATGTGAATGTAAAGGAATGATTATACCGAACTTTTTGGCTAAGTTTACACTAGCAATCTTTTACTCTCAATATTTTCTAATATATTCAGTCGAGACTGACTAACATAAGTGAAAATAGTCACCATTCTCTGCCCAGTTGGTCTTCGAAAATTATTTAAAGACTCAATGGTAAAGCTTATAGATTAAGGGTAAACTCCTTTCCGAATTTCTCAAAGTATCGGATTATAATCAAGATTAAAGTAAGAAAATCAAATTTATAATCGTATATTAAGGTAAGATATAGAACTCTTGTATCATTATTCCACATGCTTTTGCTAGAACTTAAGTTTCATTGCATCATTCAAAATAAATAACTAACTCAATCAATCCAACAATAACAGTTTTCCTACTTGTTATATTGCCCATACTTACAAGAGTCAACCTAATAGAGTAGATTTTTTTAAAACTCTTCAATATTTTACCCTCTCGTATCTTTCGTAATATACAATTCCTTAAACAATTCGTTATGCAAAGAAATAGTGAGATGGGTAATCTTCCTTAAGAAGGCGAACAATATCGTATCCTTACTACCGCATCTAGAACTATAACTCGATTCCTCTTTGCTACATTATACAAGATATTCTGTAGTTGAGGATCATCGTGATTTACCATTTGAAATATCACTCGCTCTACAAATTACTAGATTGAGTTCTAACTATGTATAGATTATTAATTACTCTTCAAGAGTCATCTACAGAATAGAGTATTAGGGTTACATTATAACTCTGAGTATAAACTATCACGATTTAGCCTTATAAGCATTCTAACATCTAGCTAGGACAGTTTTGAAATTAATTGCCCTTCAAAAACCTACTAGTCAAACCTGATAGGCTTTGATCGATAATACTTAAAAATCTTAGCTATCCTTCATTTTCTTTGATATTCTGCAATACGTATCTTATCGAAAGTATTCTCTTTATAATCTTATTCAAAATCATTCTTTTAATGATCTTTTACGGACACCAACTACTAAACTTACCAGAACTATATCCAGTTATACTAGTAAATAGATGCAATTTAAACTAATTACGGTACTCGTTATGAGTAGTAATTTAATCAAAAGGTACAAACCGATATTACTTGGCTCTATATAGATTAACTTACTCTATGAAAGTATTCATCTGTTGCATTAAAATTCATGTGACAAATTTTTGCAAGTTAAACTGAGATTAGAATCGATAATTCCAGTTGATATTTCGCTATAAATAAGGCCTATACCTACAGTAAGCCATTCACGAAGATGAAAGCAGATTACTTATGACTTATTCACCTCAAAACGATTATTCAACTATACTATTGAGTTTCACAGCTTTCCATTGAATTTCTAAATCATTTTCTTACTCATGATTCAGCGTTTCATCTAATGCTACATAAGAAACAAATATTTAATTAATTTACCCATAATCATCCAATTGTTAATCCTTAACAACAATAAAATTCTTACGAGAAGGGATTGATAACCTTGATATTGGCATATAATTTCTCCATGGATATCAGTTGTTTCTAATGTATATTAAATTACATTTTATTTTCTTTCAAATTATTGGCACGCAGCTTCAAATCAATATATAGTTAACTACCCTGGTATGGTAAGATGTCTCAAAATCAGAGATAATCGAAATTTGATAACTTATAATGTTCACTTTAGTATATAAATTACTTCTTTAACCAAGAACAAAATAAAGTAACTCAAGGAGATAAGATCTCCTGCTTATATGCATTATAATTCAACTCTATTTAAATCTACAATTTCTAATTAATCTTGTTTCAAATTACTCGCTTCGTCTTTGGTATTGAATCACCTTAATAAAATATTTCTAACCAATGCTTCAATTTTTACTATACTTACTTAGTACGGAAATGAAAAACTCATTCCTAGGATTCTAATTATTCTATAATCCTGCACATACAGTGTCAATTATACAATTTTATAGACCACTTAACCACTTCCTACAATCTATTAAGCTATTTTTGAGCCTGTAATACATTTGATCGTGAAGAGCATCCAATACTGAATGATTGCAGAACGATATTATCAAAACTAATGAAATTAGGAGGGAAAGATTTAAGAACATTATATTACTGGATCACAGATTTAAAAAAAATATCTATTCTTACTCATTGGAATCCAATGCATTAAATTTGCGATACTAATTGAACTTAGATCGTCACAGTAAATATCTGCATATTTATAACAAAAAGATGAAAAAATTAACAATATAACATCTACAATCATCGTCCATATCTTAATTCTTTACAATATAATCCAACATATGCAAATTTCATTCTTCTAAACTCTCTTTTTACGGTAAACCCGCTATAGTACGATACTCAAGTAGAAGATCATTCTAGTAATTTATTATAATGACTAATTTAGCAATTTTAGTTCCACTGGCAATATCATTTAATATTTATTAAAAGATCCCGAAAACTTTTCATAACACAACCCTTGATACTTTAGCTAAGGATTGATTTGTTCGTGTTATTGAACGATTAATTCTCTCTAATTTCTTGATCCATAAATCACAGTATCCAATCTAATCTGTCAACATTTGCAAATAAATTTTGATTATTGAAAGTGATAATTTGAACTTATAAATAGAATATCAGCAGCTGTTATTGAACTGAAATTCAAGAATGTTTACTCACGTTAACACGTCAGATCTTTGATAGAATTTGAGTTATTGTTTGTATTTAGTAGAATTCATCTATAAGTGTGCTACAGTACGTCGAGAATTTCCTATGATCATGAATGATAATTTAAATAAAGACCTATCCTATTAATAACCCTATCATACCTATACATTAATCAATGAAAAGCTGATAATAGATCGGATGTTTTCTATGACTGTTTTGAATGGCAACCATTGCAGATCGACTTCCTTATTATTCTAATATCATTATAGTAATAACTTATAAACCCTAAGTAAAGAAGATCACCCATAGCACATATTATAAACAAATGGTTGATAATCCCTTCCGCCACGATTAAATCCTAATATCTAAACCTGGAAAAGTCTTAAACCTATAAAATAATTCAACGTGGCCATTGAAAATTGCATTTTAGATTTTCCTATACAGATTCACTCATAAGCTTTGCTTTTATTTACATTATCGTTAATTCTATCGTCAAGGTGCTTCACTTTCTCCCATCTCTGATTGATTTTTACTTACGGGTTGGTATATAAAGTGAAAAAATAATAGCCTGCTCTTCAGTTATTTTCGCTGTATTCATGATCGTGGTCTTCTTATAAAATATTTGGTTCTGATTTTTGATATTTTACATCTAATTTAACAGTTGATAGCTGCATTTTATGACTACTATGAGCTTTTTTCTATTATAGATCTAGTTGTGATAAAAATTTACATATTTCGATATTCTTGTAATTTTTACTTAACTCTACGGCTAATATGCTGACTGATCATTAAATACTGAATCATTTATTATCTCCTGCTATGGATTCATCCCTATAGAGGATATTCATCCAGTTTAGACTGCATTCTCCATTTATGGAGTCTTCAATATAGCACTCCATGTTTGTAGCTAAACAGGCTATAAATTCGCAACTGATTTGGGTTATTTTTTCTAGTATATCCTCTGATATCTAGTTGGATAGGGCACAGTCTATTATTAAACTTGAATAAACTTGTAATCTATCTATCACATACTTCTGTACTTAAACTGTAGAGCAGGCTACAAGATTATATTAGACGATCCTTGAGTTATATTCTTTTCGAGATTAGTTTTTAAAACTACATGTTGAAACCTTAGAAGCAAACTTACTTGCATGTTCATAATTTTGGATCGTTCCACTCGTATTATAGCTTATCAAAATTTACTGAGCAAACATGACGACAAGAGCTAACGGCATAAAACCTATTATTGACCTATAGAAAATTATATTCATAATACCTTCAGCATCTTGGTTAATTCTCATATGAAATAAACGTCACAATCCTGATCAGGACTAGGATTAAATAAGCAAAAAATGATACTTTACGCGATATACTAAATCTGCTAGCTTATCTTTTAACGTTCTGCTTATCTGTTCTTAATGACTGTCAACTATCTCTATTACTAGTGTACATACATATATATCGACAAATATTTAAGTATTTCCTATCTGTCTTCTCATCAGACCATAGATAACCAAAGAAATTTATCGGACCTATATTAACCATGAAAGCAAGTCAAACTGCTCCTTTTGGGACCGACCATACACCACCGATACAAACTAAAATCATTGGTAGTAAACAGGTGGATTTTATCGATTATGATTCTATTAATAAAGCAAATCAAAAAGCTGATTTGACTGCATTATCATCACCACCACTTCTGAAGAAAAATTTAAAGCAGGATAACAGCAATACTTATCAAAAGAATCTAGCCAGAACTGGTATTAATTTAAGCCCGGCAGGATCAGAGCATTTCCTTTCCCCTCCAACTAAAAGACAGCAAGCCATTTTAAATGAAATAAAAGATCAAAATCAGAGCCAAAATACAAAAGTCAGCCCACAGCAAACTTTATCAAGCGATCTTGCTACTGGAATTACCTCAAAAGCTACAGCTTATTGCGATGATGGGACAAAAGATTATTTTAACCAAGGCAGCCCAACATTGAAAAAGTCGACATTAGATACATTAGATAAATTAACAAGTCCTACTTTAGATAAAAGTAACGATTCTAAATTGTTGTTCAATGATCGAACTTTAAACGAATTAAAACTATCGCGTAGTTTACCACTAAATTTGTCGATAGCTAATAACAATGAAGAAGAGAAAAGTGGCCGACACGGGCATACTCGAGCCAGTACTGATCATCGAGTCTTCGGTAAAAATCGAGATAGTCCCAATTTAACCAATCAAAGCCCATTACTAGATCAAGGGATGCCAAATTTAATGCAAAATGAGAAAGCAATTCGCAATATTTTACCACCTATTGCCATCTCAGATGATCAGTTAGGCAAAAAATTTCACCAACAATTACAAAATTTCGATCGTAGTAAATATAAGTATATCTATAATACAATAGCGATGATGGATAAAGGATCAACAAATTGCATAAGTCGTGACGAACTGATGGAAATATGTCGACTCTATCAGATCCCAATTAAGGATGATGAATTAAATCAGTTATTTACGTACTTTCAAGATCCTCAAAATCCTAAATATGCCTATTACGCAGAAATATTAAAATTTATGAATGCTGCACAAGAAGGCGATTTCCAAAATACACGTTTAACTTCTCATCCATCACCATCGATCGGGAAAAAACACCACGAGGATCAAGCATTATCTAACCAAGAAAGTAAAACTTTTTCGTTATTCCATGATCGACAAGATGCAAAATTAATTCAATCCTTACAGAAAGAGTTTCTATCATCCAAAACTCAAATTGAATTAAAGGGGTTGATACAAGCCTTCCAAGAAATTAACAACAGCAACATTTCCATCAATATGGTAAATTTATAATTAAGAATACAATATTAACCCTATGAAAACATGTTGCTCTAACTTATAGCGTAATTGTTATGGTTTAGAATGTGGTAGGTTGAGTATTTGCGTGTTTCTATAGGTCAAAATATGATATCTTGGTATATATTCTTAATCTATTCAAGTTACGGTACTTTACAGGTTATAAATTGGTAATTTTATAAATACCTAAAAATCAAAGTATTTCTATATCTAAATTTAATTATAGACTTTCTCATAATGTTCATAAGGAGATACATTAAGCACGAAATTTATTCTCTAATAGTTCAGATAACATCAGAATACATGGTAGGCAACTTTATCTTAAAACATCTATGTTATAGATTATCCAGATAGTCTATATTTTAGCACAGTAAGTAATAAATTTGATCTAACAGTATGACGTAGTATGTAGTAAAGAACTATGGGCGTAGAATAATTGGTTTAACCTAATAAGAAAATTGCAGATTGTAGTTGATATAATGTAAGGGTCTAAAACCTACTCATAAAATGGCCTACAAAGAAAGAAATATTTTAAGTAAGATCTCGATCTGTTACAGATTATTTCAAGTAGTTTAGTTATCCCATGATAGACTTTATTTAGTAATCTCAACATGAGGAATCGATTAGTTTTCTTTTTCGTATTTTTGGAAATAATTTCTTAACTTTATAGACTGGTACTCTTATCAAAGTAGACATAGTATCTACAATTATTTAAAAATTGCAGTTTATTAGTCATTGTCACAAAACAGCTTTGCAACAAGATAACGCAATATACGATCAATAAGTCAATTCCTTGAACCACGTATCAAGGAACGATATCTGCACTATCACAAACACTTTTGCTCTACTAGCAGACTACACAAAGACTTAAACGCCTCGTATTTTACGTTAAACACTAAGTTGGAGAAATTCTTCTTTATTTCACGATATACTGCATTTATATACTATTCCTCAATAGTTCATGAGTCATAGTTAATACAATTAACATTAGAATCATTTACTGAATTAGATATTAATTTTAGCTACTGCTCCCTTAATGCAGACAACAGAATTTACGAACATAGACATATAATGACTAATACAGAATAGTCAGATTACGATATGTCCTATCACGGAACATTTCCATGATAATTTACAGTCTACCATAAGTAAATTACAATCACAATGATTGGAACTGTAAGCAGATGATTTGCATTCCCTATTATAACTATTAATTTCAGTATGTGTATAAGTGTCACTGTCATAAAAAGTCAGTGCTATATTAAAATACAGTATATCCGAATTAGAGGTTAACTAAATAAGGATAGTCTAACAGAATTATCCTAACATAGTTATTTCTACTGTAATACAGTATTTAACACTGTAACAGTCATACTTAAAATTATTAAACTAGTTCAAGAGAGAACAAAGTGTTACATTATACAGTATATTTAAATTTATGACGAACAATATATAGCTATAAAGCATATATCTTATACATGGATATATATATATGCGATACACATTATATATACTATATATATACCTACATGTGCATACATTATGTATAAAACAAAATGCTTCAGATTGTACATTCGTAATCTAATTTTTATGAGTATGCTGCTGCAGGTGAAAGAGATCTGTAATCGTCATCATTTGCCCCTATCTGATTCTATATTGAATGCTTTGATAGAGCGATGTCAAAATGAAGATCAAGGATTTAAGTGAGAACTCTAGTGTTTATTGATAATATTGCCATTGATACATTGCTACATTAAAACTTAGAATGCTATGAAATTGTCTTACAAATCCAGCATCAGAATCTATCAAATATAATATAGATTATTTAATTTTGAAACAGTCAGAATAATCTGCAATTGGAATAGCATTTCAGCTTGCAAACATTAATCTCTATATTTGAAAAGTGTTCATATATAAAGAGTTATTATTAAGACTTATTTAATGTGGCAGTGATTAACTTCAAATGGTAGTAAAATGGCCTAGACGGAATATTTTTTTACGTTGCAGTTAAAATTTATGTCTGATATTAACTTCATTTCTATCGTTAGTTCCTCCGCATTTCTTCTTTTTCTTGAACGAGCTCAGCCTTTTCCCCTTCTTGACTCACCAAATCGTGTCAAAGACATTACAAATATTAAGTCCTTAGCAAGTCAAGGTATAGGAAAACCAATGTTGGAAAACAAATTTTCATCCTCATCTAACCAAGATATGCCAGATTACGTTAAAAATGATCAAATTCGATGGCAGAAAGATGTGCTGGTCAAGTTAGATAGTATCAGCAAAGAACAAGAGGTATTTCTCGATAAATTACCTTACATTCATTCTAGATTATTTACTCATACATTTTTAACCCAATGATTACTGCAAAAATGTGATTTCGTATTAGCATATGAGATCAAGAAATAGATTTCTGTATTTATTGTTATAGCAATTATTAATACATCCTTACGACACCACTTTATTACTATCAACAAAGAAATAGAATTATGGTTCATAAATTTTATAATTTGAGTCACCAGGGAATCCTCTATCAATAGGATCTAACAGGCAAATATTAAGCAAATACTATAAAGTTTAATGAGAAAAATTAGTTAATACTGTTATGAAACTGATAGAGACAGCAGCATTGAAGGGCTATCATCTATTATTTATTCAATTCGACAAAATTATAGAGATAGAAATAAGAGCACTGGTTGTCCTGCTTATAGTTTTAGTCATCTTTTCAAACATCGACTAGATTTAGAAATATGAATTGCTAAGATGTTGCTGATCGTTCATTCGTATCTTTATAAAAGTATTAATAAACTATATCATATACTTTTCCCGCGTTATCACTTTCAATCATCGTACCCTACCGCCATTAAAATTAAATACTATAAATATTACAAGTATGATGACGATAATTTCAATAACTTCAATCGTTTTTTTACCATCTCCTCCATACGAAGCTAAAAGATATCAATTTTTAACCTTTCATTCCACTCTGTTTTCTGCATTTTAAGTCGTGCTGGTCATTACGTTAAAAGCTGTATTGTTATGTGAAATAAAATCAGTCGATGTAGCATCAAAGCATCTTCTAGAGATTATTGTACGGTGGTTAACGTTTCTATCATATCAAAATATTTCAACAGATGTTTCTGCATACTGATATTCAAACACAAACTTTTCGCCTTTCCTTCTTAACATTTCAAACGTATTAACTAAAACATTGGATTGTATAGCTACACAATTTCATTATGATTTCTAAATATAGGAAACGCTGAACATTAGCAAATATATCCTATAATAAGTATTTACAGTAATCGCCTTACTGTAAAATCATTTTCAATAGTAATCTTCTTATAATGCTAAGGAGATTCACAGAACGGAATAAAAAACTAAAGACTGCAGTCTATTTTTAGGTGATTTAAGGAATATTTCTTTCATATAGTAATAATAAGATATACCGGATATAAGCTTTCATTATTATGTTTATTCCGGTATTTTATGCTATTTTTACTTTCAAACAATTACGGATAATCTACTCAAAACAGAGCCGATAGATGTATTTTACTCAGCTAAACAATTAAGACAAAAATATTAAAATGACATGTTATATCCAGCGTATTTACGTTTTGATACTTCCTGGAATTTGAGGAAGTTAATGAATTATAAATCTAGATTGTTTTCATGATAAAAATTAGATTTAAAAATCTGGTAGACATTAATAATCATATTAATAGCATTGTCAATTTCATGAGTATAAATACAGTAGAATAACATTTTCATTTTGACTGCATAAATGAATGTAGATATAAGTCGTATTATCTCAAAACCTAATAATAAGATTAAATTATCATCTATTATTCAATTTATTACGCATACAATCGTTTATGGATAACGCTATACTTTAGTTAACATTGGAAATAAGTATGGTAGGCTTCATGCAGCCGCTGTTATTGGTAACTTTGGCAGCCTGAGTAGTTTACAAACGATCCTATTTTATTAGCACTATTTCATAAATATTTAATTTAAAATAAACCCAAGAGCAAATTGAGTTCATCTATATACACCTGTAGTGATATTCTGACAATAACGTTACATAATTCCTGTCTGAAGACCATGCATGTAATAAGAAAATTACAAGATATAATAAAGTATACTTTATATGTAGCTTTATACACATATAACAAGAAAATAAAGACGTACTAACGAGATAATAAACTAAGAGAACATCAGTTGAGATCATCTATTTTCATAAGGAATTTGTAAGATGTAACAACTTTACTATCGTATGTAATTATATTGAAGAAAAGAAGTGAAGGTATACTGCACTCAACACGGTTATTTTGCTTTACCATTAAACGTCTAAAATACTGTGTATAGACTCTGAATACGTAATTTTGAATTATACACAATTGAATGGAAAAGTTATATTCGCTTATAATCTAAGAAATCTCTGAGCTATGCCACTCCTACAAGCTTTCCTTTCTTTGCACTTGCCATGCTCAAAAAGTTTTTACCACTAATCATGCATTTCTAATGCGTAACTTAATCTAAAATTTACTTGTTTATGCTTACAATTAATCCGTTAAAACCTTTTGATAATTGTAGTATTAATGCCCCAGTTATAATTTGTTGGTGACGAACCAATTCTTTAGAATATTCTCCATCACAAATAAATATTATTTCACATATGCTGCTCTAGCTCAAAAAATAGTCAACATCTATATAATCTATTATTTTTTTCTATTGATATTAATATTATATTGAGGTCAGTTTCTATTGGATAAAAGTTTAAGTTCAGGGTCTGCTCTATTTATATCTGTTTATATCAGTAATAAAGTACTAGCATGTCTTGATTACGATTGTTCAATTATAGAAATCAAAATGAGTTAAAGAACAGTTTAGCTAGCGGAAAGATTATTTCGACGCAATAACTAATTATTCCTTTTTATAATCAAGAATAGAATGAAATCAATTCGCTAATGTTTATTTACATACATTATTTACATGACGATATTTTCTCCATTTTATATACATAGAGAATTATACTACATAATAACACCGTTGTATCTATTATAAAATTAATAGAATTATGAATAACAAGTACAGCAGACAATAATTCGATTATATTCGTATTAAAAATATCTTTGTTCACGAATACCAAATTTTCATTCTTCACTTTGGAACGTAATAAATGTGCCAGATGTTAAGAAATCGTCAAGAACAGTTAGAGAACAAGCAACCGTTAAATCAGCGTGTAGATTTAAATAAAATAGAATGCATCGAAGACGTCCCCTGGATTGATCGATATATGGAACTAGCTATAGCACTCGATGCTGCCGATATTAATAATAAAGGTAAAATAAGTTAACCGTTATATCTTTGTGATAATTACAATAGCTGCATAGTTACAAAAGACTTATTAATACTATCTCATACTCACCGCTATTTTAGTAAGATTAATGAACATGTTTTGGATTTGTTTTCTAGGTATAATTAGTAAGACCGAAGCTATGCATTTAATAAACAAGTACAATGTCAGTCATAAATTAAACTATGACGATAAAATTATTTTATCAGCAATTGATAATTCGCTGCAACCAGAAAATAATAAGCATATTTGCATTGGAAATTTATTAGAAGAATTAAATATATCAAGTCAAAATTAGACAATTTTAAATCTAGTACCAATCAATATCTTCAATATAAGTCCATGATCACTTCTCCACTATCACGATACTATAATCTTATATTGCTTCGCATTGGAATAAGTTGAAAGATTTTGTTCGTCATTATGACTATTAAATTTTCCTTTATAGCATTTGAGATTCTTATATAATGATGGTAATGCTAACAACTTTCAATCTATACTGAACTGTCATTCTTATTCTATTGAATGGTATTTCACTAATTTAATTCATATATTCTAGCTTTCGTTAATTTTCTTAATATGTTGTAAACACTCGATGAAATGGCGAGAGTTTGTCAATAATTAGGAAAATAGCTAGTCTGCACTATCGAATTTTAATACGTATATAAATATATAATAACAATTAATACTATTTAAGCTTACGTAATATCAACAATTTGATTACAACATACGCCATTTTTCTGTCGTACAGTACCTTATCAGTAAGTATTTAACAACGCTATTACATCTTGCGACATTATTCTAATAAAGCTGCAGTGTTCTATCGAAATAATAGTTGGTATTCCAGTTCTATATTCTACAACATTTAATTTAGTATTAAGTATTAACGGGTATTTGCCTTTCAAGTTTCTTTATTTAAGTATTAATTTAAAGTTTACATTATCACAAAATGTAATTATTTAAAACTGTCTTAATTCACTGTTGCTGTATTCACTAAATTCAATAAAAAGTTCTGCTGGAATTATTGATATTGTGTATCGCTTAATCGCTACGTTTCACTAATAAATTTTATCAATTAGCATTATAGGACTTTACGGTCAGGATAGTAGAGCACCTATTATAATTATTACCTAAATAAATTTTTTTTAAATTTAAAAAGGTAATCCTAAACGATTTTATTGCCATTAATGATTTGCTTAAAAATATCTCTTGATTTTACTACCACAGAATAAGAATCAAGCAAGAACAAAGATTATTTCTCTATGGTTTATTTCTTTAAGGAAAAGACAATTAAGATCTCCCAGAACCAATACGCACAGATAGCCTATTTATCGAGCCTCACGTTTTTGACCATTTGCTGCCTAATAATTGTAGATTTTTTTCTGACAACAGCGCCATATATACGCGTATTTATACACGAGCTTAAGATACTCGTTTATAACTAATGAACCTAAATCAAATCGCAATCTAAATTCATTAAATCGTTTCAATATACAGTTCATAAATTTAAAATTTTACAGAAGTCGGAATACACATCAATCGGTTATTGCAATTAAGCCTCTATATCATTGTTGTTTGCACAACGATATGTACCTTCAATGTATGGATGTACGGCCTATTTACAATTTTAATTAACTTATTATATGAATTATCAATTAAACTACCGTATTCTATCCCCATTTATGCATGATCTGAATGTACAGCTCAGTAGTATTGTAAATTGCCGTATATAACTCGATTCTATCCGATTTATAACATGCGTTAATTTTAGTCTAATTATCGATACATAGTACGTATAATAAAAATTATCACTCAAAAATATATTAACCTCACTAAAGATATCATTTTTAGAATTATTACGTAAATTAAATCTTAATTTCATAAATTGATTACGCACAATAAAAGTTAGTGAGTCCAAAGACTGCTAAAAGTAGCTATGCATTTACCAGAATTTTCGTACATATACTTATGTTCTTACATTGCTAGTTCAAATAATTTTTCACAATTATGGGTAATTTTAAGAAAATGCAACATGAATACATTCTGATCATTAATTATCAAATATATAAATACTCTTTTAAGTATTGGAATAGAAATACTTACGACTGTAGCTTATGACCAAAAATCATTTCCTATTCAGCTTGTATAAAAGTCAATAAGAAATAATTATAGTATACTGGTAGAATCCGAAAAAAAATTTCGCTGACTACAGTCCTAGTCAATCTATCATTACCCCTGAATTGTTGCTGTTTCATATAATAGGTTTACATTGAAATTGGATAAGTAAGCTGAGCATAATATTATTTTATTGGCACAGATATGGAATTCCTTGCAAATTGGTAGACAGTGTGAAATAGGAATTAAATTTACTCAATTTGAATTATGTTAAATATTTAATTACCAGTTTCTAACATTAATACGGTTATTTTAATAGAAATAACATACAGTAAGAATTAATTTAATAGAAAATAAAAACAGATTATGTTGATTTTTAAATATTTAATATTAAATTACATAAGGTTCTGAAAATATTTTCTACTTGGCATCTTAGTTTTGTTACTGCTCCACTATAAAAACGTACAGTACAATTATCATGCGGATCCACATGACGATTTTTAGAGTCAGGTTATTTCTAATCCAAGATTTAAAGGTTAGCATAAACCATCCCTTCTTTTAATTGACGTGGCATATTACAATAGGCTTCGCTTTATTTCTTAGATTGGTGAATCAAGCTGATGCATATTGTATTGCATATATTAGACCGCCAACCTGTTCTATTCTCTATTCTAAATTAAATGCATATATAATGATGTCATTCATTACTCTTATAGCCGATATTTAAAATAAGACAAGGGTTATATGATTGTAGCTCAGAATAACATGTTGTTTATGTCTTTATTTTACTAAAACACAGCACGAGTGTAAGCTACTGACTGGTTGTACGCTTCAGTCATTGGTAAAAATAAAAAAGACAACATCAAAACCAAAAACATTATGACGTCTAACGTCTACTTATTCATCATATGGCGCAAGAACAAGACGCTGACTAAATGTATCCAGCAGTACTAGGTAACAAAGAAGACGGAAAGGTTTTTCGTTATAATTATTTCATATACTAGGCAATATAAACTGAATTCTTCTAATTAATTAGTGTCGTCTTTCGGCAATTGATAGATAAGCTATCTGGTACATTTACTATTAAGTTGATAAAATGATGCTCATAAATGAATAATATGCGGTATTTTTTATCGTATGGAGTATAATATCCTAGATAAAATGCCGCCGCATATGTCCTAAGTAAGATAAGTATCTCATATCTTTAAGTAAACTATACAGTTCTGACAGCAATTTAAGTTGATAATAGAATTCAAACCCTTCTACATTCCTAGATTAAGTTGCTGTGAGATAATTCTCTATCGCATTAGTTAATCATGGGACTAATAATCCTAGCGTCAAGATACTGAAACGTTGTTTTGATACAATATTACTGAGAGGATTACTCATACATTTACATTGAATTACTATCTTTTAATATGATAGGTAGCATTGCCTTTTAGTCGCTCGTCTGTATGTAGGTGTATTTATTTAAGTTATCATCTGTCAGTAAGAAAGCAGAAATGTTTCATATTAGTCAAACATGTACGAGTTAAACTAAATAGCCGAAATGGTTTGATAACAACTTAATTTTATATCATACCTGTATTTTGATGCTAGTACTCGTCGCTGTCTTGATATTACTAATGGTTATAGATGACCAAGGTGCTTTAATACGTGCAAAATTTAGACCTAGTCTGTACGGTTACATCTGATGTTAGTCGCTTTATTACGATTATTAGATTGTTATAGGAAGAGAAAGTTGTGCTTTTTCTTTGTTTAGTCTACTAATAGTATAGGATTAGAATAGAGCTATTTAATATTTAGTATATTGATTTAATATTTTGTTATATTATTTAATTGGTTTGGCTGTTAGACTAGTTGATTTTTATCGTCGTTTCCTGATAATACTTTATATCGTACAGATTCGCTATAAAACTGATACAACTTAAGTTGCATATTAAGTTAAGGAAGGAATTCTTATTTAAACCCTATTCTGTATATCCGTAATTAATATTTTGTTGCGCCATCGTTTTACTTATATAGCCATCCTAGATTGTTTCTACGCGTACATATAAACAATTCTGTTATACCCTGTGGTTATATACACCGGCTATATTTCTCTACTTTACCATTAAACTACAGTAGCTGACTATCACGTATGTACGCTTAATTACTGTATAGCGTGATACCTTTTCTTTACGCACATATCATGCATACTTGTAGCTAATAATTCACCTATAGCATCTATTCATCTTGTTAATTTTTATTTGCGGAGCTTCCTCATTAAACTAAAATGACCCAGGAAAATAACAGAATACTTTCGATCGTATTGTATATATACATATACCGGTAGCGAATATTATAATTGCTTCCCCATTAAACTTCTAAACTACGTAAAGCAACAGTATGCTAACCGCAATAATGATTGCACAATGCATATATACAGGTACACATATATTGATGCATTCTGGTAACGAAGATTTTGCTTCTTGTCCATTCAACTTCGACAGTCTTGAAAAGTAACAGAATACTTTAGACTCCAATATTGTATCTGTTAGTAGCTTTGAATGTTTTATTGCTTCCTCGTTAAACTTCTATAAATACGAAAAGTAACAGAATGCTTCAACTGTAATAATGATTGTATAATATATATATATATATACGGGTATACATATATTCGTATATACTGACAAGGAATATTTCGCCACTTGCTCATTCAACATAGTCATCAAAAGTAACAAGATATACTTAAGACTCCTAGATTGTATCTGCTAGTGGCGTAGAACATTTTTATTGCTTCCTCATTAAACTTTTACGACTACGAAAGTAACAGAGTACTTAAACTGTAGTATTGACTATACTCGTATAATGTATGTATACGAGTATTAGTATATATTTTGCTACTTGCTTATTCAACCTGGACAGGCATTCAAAGTAACAAGATGCTCCAGACTCATTTCAACTTTTATAACTACGAAAAGTAACAGGATACTTAAAACTGTAATATTAACTATATCGTATACGCGTATTCGTATATATTAACAATAAATATTTCGCTACATGCTCATTTAACTTAGTTAGGCATAAAAAGTAACAAGGTACTTAGACTACAATATTGCGTCTATCAGTAGGTTAGAATATTTTTATTATTTCCTGGCCCTAGCATAAACTGATATAACAAATGTTTCGTTACATACATTC